GCAGGTTACTTAACCTCTCTGATCCTCCAAAGACTTTGTTCTTGAGGAAGTGGCTCTCCTGTGGCCGTGCCGAGGATGATGTCAGGCAGGTAGCAGATGCCGTTTGCATTTCCTCTCCTTTCCTTCATCGTTATCATCCAGCTAGGCCGGGGTACTGAGATGACTAAGATCTAGTCACTCGTTGGTGGAATGGCCCAGGTGGTGGCTGGGGAACCCTCCAGGTGGTGGGGAACCTGAACTCTGGCCAGTCCTGCCTTTTTGCACCCCTTGCTGTCTTGAACCCATTTTGTTGCTTCTCTGGCAGCAGGGGCCTGAGCTGGCTCCATAATCTATTTATTTCAAAAGCATTTTATTGGGGGCTCGTACAACATTTATTACAACCCATCCATCCTTTGTGTGAAGCACATTTGTACATTTGTTGCCATAATAATTCTCAAAACATTTGCTTTCTACTTGAGCCCTTGGTATCAGCTCCTCATATTTTCCCCTCCCTCTCCGTCCCCCCCACCAAACCCTTGATGATTTATAAATTATTATTTTTTCATGTCTCACACTGCCCAATGTCTCCCTTTACCCACTTGTCTGTTGTCTGTCCCCCAGGGAGGGGGTTATATGTAGATCATTGTGATCAGTTTCCCCTTCTTACCCCACCTTCCCTCCACCCTCCTGGTATCACTACTCTCATTATTGGTCCTGAGGCATTTATCTGTCCTGGATTCCCTGTACTGCCAGCTCATATCTGTACCAGTGTCCATCCTCTGGTCTAGCCAGATTTGTAAGGTAGAATTGGGATCATGATAGTGGAGGGAGGAAGCATTAAAGAACTAGAGGAAAGTTGTATGTTTTATTGGTGCCATACTGTACCCTGACTGGCTTGTCTCCTCCCCACGACCCTTCTGTAAGGGGCTGTCCCACTGCCTACAGTTGGGCTTTGGGTCTCCACTCCTCACTCCCCCTCATTCACAACGATATGATTTCTTGTTCTTTGATGCCCGATCCCTGGCTCGTTTTCCGAGGCCTTGCTCTGGGCCTCACTTTGCAACGTTCTTGTTGAAGCCAGGACAAGCCTGTGCCAGAGGGCCCTGTGTGTGGCAGGTGCATGCAGGCTGTGTCGGATCCCCCACTGTGCCCACTCTTGTCAGCACTCCCAGCAGCTTGCTCCCTGGCACTCCGGGCAGGCCTCTTGGCACACCAGTAGGCAAGGTGGAAACCAAGATGGCTCAGACTCTTCTCAGCCTGGCAGGAGCAGAGGCAGGTGGAGGACCCAATAAACGAGGTAAACGCAGGCTGACTTGTGCTTATTTATGAATCTTAACAGATTCCAATCTCCAGTCTCTTGGTCACTGCAGGCTAGTATGATTAGTCTGTAAGCCTAGGTCAGCCTGTGAGAACCTTGCCTCCTGGGCCCTCAGTCCCTGTGAGGGACTGTGAATTTCAAAAAGCGCCTTTGATGTTGCAGGAAGGTGTTGTGGGCTTGAGAGAAAGAGAGAGAGAGAGAGAGAGGCCAGTTGAGCCTAGAGGCAAGATCTTTGGTGTGTTGAAAAGTGTGAAGTTGTCTACTACGGATTAGGAAGTAGGCAAGGAAATCTGTTTCCCTGCTCTGGGGGTGATCTGCCCTGTCTGAGAGAGGCCGGTCTGGGAGGTGAGAAATGAGCCAGGGGCAGCGCCTGCCTCTGCTGTTCCTGACTCTGCACTTGACTCAGGAGTCTGCGGGGTGGAGCGGCTGCCCTTGTCATTGGAGTTGCGCCCTGAGGAGAGGGACATGCTTAGCCGCCTGTCTGCCTGGCTGGGTGCTCTCAGGGGAGCTTGCGGGCGCTCACTGAGAAGTGAGGTGCAGAGGAGCCAGCCTGTGGTGCCCGGGGGCTCGGAGCCTCCAGGAAAGTGGTTGCCTCTGCAGGAAGGGTGGAGATAAACACCTGGAACAAACCATTCTTCTCACCTTTACAGTCCCTGTACAAGCGTTGGGCGTGGCCAGCGGCTGCGTGCTCCCGGGTGTAAGGTCCTTGTAACAGGAGTTAGCCTCCTGTCACCACACAGATGCAATGCACGCAGGAGGCCCATTTCAAGAAGGGCAGTGGAATGGACACAGGCTGCATGCTGTGTGACCTTGGTGAGTGGGGTCCCCAAACCTGCGGTTCCAGAGTTCTGGAGGAGTGCTCCATGGTGGATCCCCACAGGTCCTCTCCGTTCCAGCGGCGCTTGTGGAGTTGCCGTGACCCTCTGAAACGCAACAGGCCTGTTATGCCTGGTGTTTACATGGTACGTGGTACAACTCTGGCCGCAGTTGGAGCAAATAAAATGGTTCGCGTGGCTGCTGCTCTGTGAGCAGGGAAATGTAAGACTTCCTATTTCTATAAAGGTTGAGCCCTGATGATGTAGTTAGCGGGTTACGTGTTGGGCTGTTAACCTCAGGTCAGCAGTTTGAAACCCCCGGCTGCTCCTTGGGAGAAAGATGAGGCTGTCAACTTCTGTGACGAGTTACAGCCTCGTAAACCCACGGGGGCAGTTCTCCCACCAGGTCGATATGAGTCGGAATCCACTCGGTGGCAGTGAGTCTATTGGTTGGGATGGTGAAAGCAGTCTGTGATTGGCTACGGAAGATCGGCAGTTCAAAGCCACACAACTACCATGGAAGGAAGGCTTGGGAAGCTGCTTCTGTGCTTGTGTGCCCTCAAGTCATCCTGACTCCTAGGCCGCTGCTGGCACAGAACGGCGCAGCCCCCAGGCGTTCCCCGGGCTGCACCCTGGGGAACCCTTGGGTAGGTATGGACTACCCACCAGTAGGGGAGCATCCGAGCGCTTCACTGTTGCACCACCAGGGCTCCTTTGTGTGGCTCGAGCCACGAGAACTCCTTCATGGGGTCCCCCAGAGTCAGAATCCACTTAATGGCGATGTTGCTACTTTTTAAATGCCAGGTTCACTGCCACTGCTATTGCTTGCACCACCACATGCACGCACACAGACCCCCACCCCCAAACAAACCTCATTGTCATTGAGCCGATTCCGATTCATCGCCAGCCTTATAGGACAGGGTAGAACTGCCCCCTTTGGTTTCTGAGACTGTACCTCTTTAAGAGAGTAGACCGCCTCTTCTTTCTCTCATGGGGCAGCTGGTGGTTTTGAACTGCTGACCTTGCTATTAGCAGCCCAATGCATAACTGCCATCTTCCCAGGGCTCCTCACGTGTGCCGTACTCATGGGATGCCACGGTGCCTCTCTCAGCTGCCTTGCTCCTCTTGCGACCCAAGCTAGGTGTCTTATTTAGAAGTGGCACCCTGCTGCCGCGCCCTGCAAACGCGACAGCTCTGGCCTCAGGAACTTCTCCCTCTGCATGTGGCGGGAACATCTGCATTTCAGTATTAGTTGGGGGCTCTGGGAGCCCTGGCTGCACAGTGATTAAGTGCTCAGCGGTCCAAAGGCAGCAATTTGAACCCACGGGCCACTCTGAGGAGAGGGAGATGTGGCAATCTGCTTCCCTAAAGATTTACAGGCTTGGATGCCACGCGGGGCAGTTCTCCTCTGGCCTACAGACTCACTGTGATTCAGCATTGACTGGACGGCGTGCTAGCCGGTGAGAGAGGTCACTGAGAATACTGAAGGGCCAAACCATCAATCCTCAAGAACAATGTGACTGTAACGCTGACCAGCTCCCAAACTCATTTTAAGTCGTGATTTAGAGTTCAGCCCATTAAAGAAAAGGAAACGGAAATTGCAGGGCCAGGGGAGTAGAGGAAAGAAAAGACACTGCTCTGTATGTAAAGAGCCCAGGGCCCCGGGTCTGCCGTCTGCTGGGCATGTTGTAGCCCTTATTTCAGCCCTCAACACTTTGACCAAGTGGGCATTGGTCACAGCCAACGGCGCTGAGTGAAATGATGTAATTTGTCCAAAGCCGTGCCACGTGCATGGTGGGGTTACAACCAAACTTCTGGCAAAGCCATTGTCTTATCCACGGAGCCATAAAAGCCTCCCAGCAAATGCTACTGGGAGATCCCACTGGCACCCACGCCTGCAGGTTAAGTTGGCTTTGGATAAACCGAGAAGACAAGGGAAGGAATCCTGGGCAGGATGGGGCAGTAGACACAAGCAAAACCTTGGCGGGGGGTGGGTGGGTGGGGGGTGGGGGGTGTCTCCGCATGGCTTGGAACAGTGCCTGCTGGTTGTAAGTTCTATCCTCAGTGCCTGACAGCTAGTAAGTAAGTCTCGGCCGGCCATAGTGTCAGTTCTGACTCATCACGACCCTATAGGACAGGCTAGGACTGGCCCTGTGGGTTTCTGAGACTGAATCTTGACAGGAGTAGAAAGCCTCATTTTTTCTCCCTTGGAGCAAGATGGGGCTTTGAACTGTTGACCTTGCAGTTAGAAGCCCAGTGTCACGCACTCACTATGCCACCAGGGCTTCTTTGTCCCTTACTAGGCGCTCACTAAATATGTGCTCAAAGCATTTATTGGATGAGTGAGTACAGGAGCAAACAATCATTTCTCCACAGGCTATGAAATCTCTGTTAGAAATCTTTAGGCCCTCCCCAGCTCACAAGTGGTTGACAAATGGCCAGGGCTCAAGAAAGGTGTCCTGACAAAGTGGACCGATAAGTAACAGGTGAGGTGGGTGAGGGGCACTAGTGGACTGCTGTGACAGAGCCAGTGGCCGAAGGGCCTTCGTGCCACAGGACACGGAGCTCTTGGGTTCTAGGGCTAAGCCCAGCCGGGGCCCCAACTTCGAGGAGCGTGTTGCACAGCACAGGAAGCACTTTTTTATAGGCCCGGCCTCCACGTGGCATTGTTGTCATGCCTTCACGTGGCCACGCCTGCCCGCTTTGGGGGTGACCACAGTAGGAGACCCGCCGGGTCTTGTCGATGGGAACCTGCGTGGCATAGGGTGTGAGTGCTGGTTCAGGAGTTGTTTTTAGGGTAGCTGGGCTGGAAAGCCCCAGCCAACTTCCTCTAAGATGTGGTCTGCTCAGCCCAGGAGTTCTCAATGAAAGCTGCCCTCTCTTTTCAGGTGTTGGCTAAGTCACTGGCTTTAAAGAAACCCTCCGGGCCAGACGGCAGTGCTGGGAGCAGAAGCCGACCTTGCTGTGGGCAGTTGGGACCTTCTGGCTGAAAGGAGAAGCTGCCCCTGCACCTGGACTTATGACCCGTGGCTTCCCTCCCAGCTTGCCCAGTGAGTTCCACAAGATGGGCTCCTTCCGCAGGCCCAGACCCCGCTTCATGAGTTCCCCGGTGCTCAGCGACCTGCCCCGGTTCCAAGCAGCCCGCCAGGCTCTGCAGCTGGGATCCAACTCTGCCTGGAACAGGTAAGGGAGGCCGCCCAGGACACAGCCGGGCTGGTGGCACCCATCCCTTAGAGCGCTGCCCCTTCCTCTGTGATGGCTGCTTCAGGAAGCTTGTCCTGTGTTGCAGGGCATCCACCTGGGTCCTTCTGGTGCGAGAATGTGCCTTTCTACACCAGGTATTCAAACCAAACCAGCAACCAAATCCCTGCCATCGAATCTTTGCTGACTCATAGCTGTCCCCTCTGCGAGTTTGAGACAGTTTCCCGGAGTAGAAAGCCATCTTTCGCCTGCAGAGAAGCTGGTCTGTTCGAACTGCTGATCTTGCCGACCACAGCCCAGTGCGTCCTGCTACACACCCTCAGGGCTCCTCCCCCAGACACACGCAGGCAGATCTGCATTTCCACAAGAGCCCTAGGCGTGTACATAGCCATCAAGAGTGTGGGGTTGGAGGCAGTACATCTGGGGTACCCAACCCACTGTCATCAGCCGATTCCGACTCATAGCGACCCTCCTTGGGGTTTCTGAGACTGCTAATCTTTACAGCAGCAGACAGCCTCCCCTTTCTCCCACGGGGCAGCTGGAGGGTTTGGGTTTGAACCACTGACCTTGTGGTGAGCAGCCCAACCCCCATTCCACAGGACACCAGGGTTCCTGATATATAGGGAGGAAAGGCCGATTCACTGCAGGGGCTTGAACTGGAATGAACTCGCTGGAAGTTCTGCGGTAGAGTTCCAATCATACATGAGAAGGGCACATTTCTTTACGTGTTTTGGAGCTTCTGGTCTACGAGTCAGTTCATTGGCCCACTAATGATGCTCCAAACGTGTTACCCCCAGTGGGTCCATGTAAATATTCATGTGACCCAGAGCCTGCCCTCAAGTAACCCTACCACCTAATAAGCCACAGGCTTGTGGAAAGTTCAGTGAGTGGCAGGTGCCAGGGAGGCCCGGTATCGGTGCACCACAGGCATCTGGGGGAGGGTGACCCGCTGTGTACCAAGCATGGGGTAGACACGGTTCCTGTTTCCTGCCTTTTGGTGGGTGGTACTGTGACAGGTGGTCTATGTGGAGACATAGGTGGAGGGTAAATTCAAAGCCTTGTTCCTGGACAGCCTTCCATCTTCTCGCCTCTCCAAGGACCCTGGGAAGGAAAGGGGGATGTCCGGGAGGAAAGGTGTTAGTGACATGGGCCGCCTTCATCCCTGAGATGACCCTGCGTGGGCCAGACCACCAAGCAGGGCTCTTCTGTCTCCCCACAGTGTCCAGACGGCTGTGATCAATGTCTTCAAAGGAGGGGGCTTGCAAAGCAACGAGCTCTATGCACTGAACGAAAACATCAGGTAAGCGGCAGGCCGGAGCACGGCCATTTCCCCACGGGCCTGCATGGGGTGCGAGGGGCTCTGCTCCTGAGCCTGATCGAACGGGTTTCCTTTGCTCTTTGGTTCTTGTGGCATCATCTCTCCACTGTTTTGTTCCTGTGAATTCTGGGATCTTGGTCTGTCTGGAGTCTGAACCAGAGAGGACTCATCCATATGGGGCAGTGGGGAGGGTATGGGTGTGGGGGTCGTGTGTGTTTTGGGGGGAAGCGAGTGGTTGATAGCTGCCATCAGGTGGACCCATGCCCCACGGAATGAACTCCCCTCCCTGGTCCTGTATCTGGTCCTGAACAGTGCGGTCACCCCCGAAGTAGGCAGGACTGGTTGGGAATCAGGGCGGTTTGACCTGTAGGGGTTTCATTGGGTTTCCAGAAATAGATCACCAGGTCTTCTTGGTCCATCTTCGTCTGGAAGCTCTACTGACCCATCCAGCATCAACACACAGCTTCTGCTGATGCATGGGTGGTAGCTGAGCAGAAAATGCATAGGCCAGGAATGCCACCCTGGGCCTCCCTGCTGGAGGGTGGGAATTCTGTCATGGATTCTATCATCAGCCCTCGAGGATGGAGCCCAAGGTCTCAACTCACTGCCATCAAGTTAATTGTGACTCATGGCCACCCCACTGGGCAGAGCAGAACTGCCTCTTGAGGCTTCCAAGACTAAATCTTTATGGGAGTAGAAAACCTGCCCTTTCTCCTGTGAAGTGGGTGGTGGTTTTGAACCGCTGGCCTTGCGGTTAGCAGCCCAGTGAGTAAGCCACTATGCCACCAGGGCCCCTGGGGAGATGATAGCTACTGTTGCATTCTATGTAGGCATTAAGCAAGGAGCCTGGTTGGCTTGGCAGGTCACTGAAAGGTAGGTGGTTTGAACCTGTCCAGTGGCTGCCTGGGAGATGAGCCCTGGTGATCTGTTCGCGTAGAGATTCCAGCCCAGAGAGCCCTCTGCGGCAGTACCCTTCTGGGGCATGGAGTCCTTGTGAGTGGGAATCGGTTTGGTATCTGACAACAGCATGCTGGAGGCACCGCATGAGGCATGCTCTCCCTTACTTAGTGCCACTAGCATGCCAATACTACACATGGGTCGCTTTGCAGAACAGAAATTTATTTTCTCACAATTTTGGAGTTTCCAGATCAGGGTCTCAGCTGTGTTGACGCCTTCCTGATTGGGAGCCCTGGATATTTCTTGGCTCCTTGGCTTGCAGACAGCCCTCACGTGGCCTATCCCTTCCCCTGAGTATACATCCCTGTGTCTAACCTCATTCTGTAATTCAGAAGTGATTAGGCTTAGGACACACCCTACACTAGTATGGATTCATTACCATAGCAAGGAAAATCCTGATTGTAAAATTGAATTACATCACTGTAGGGGTTGGGATTCTAGCATATATTTTGCAGAGTACAGTTCAATCCATGCTGTTGTTACCTAGGTTCTCAGGTTGGTTCTGAGTCACAGCAACCCTGTGCACAAGAGTGAAGCTCTGTCCAGTCCTCGCTGTCTTCACAGTTGTTAAGTTCGAGCCCATTCTTGCAGCCACCATGCTAGCCTGTCTTCCTCTGACCTCCACTTTCCCATGCATGAGGTCCTTCTCAGGGACTAGGCCTTCCCATCAACATGTCCAAGGTATGTGACACCAAGTCTCACCCTCCTCACTTCTAAGGAGCATTCTGAGTGCTCTTTTTCTAAGACAGATTTGTTTGGGGAGTCTGTGGGATATCAATATTCTGCACCAGCACCATAATTCAAACGAGTCATAATTCAAATCGAGTCTTCCTTATTGGTGTCCAGCTTTCCCATGCACATGAGGCAACTGGAAATACCCTGGCTCAGTGGGGCAGGCACGCTTTCGTCTTGCAAATGACATTTTTGCTATTTAAAATGGTGAAGCAGCAGAGGCAGCCATTGTAATACACTTCATTTGACTTACTGACTGCTGTTTCCATTGAGCATTGATTGTGGATGCAAGTCTGATGAAATCCTTGGCAACGTCAGCCTTCTCACTGTTTGCTACAGCAGTTCATTGATTGTGAGCATTTTTGTTTTCTGTATATGGCGGTAAATAAAAACTCAAAGCTGTTGTGGTTCATCTTCATCAGTAGGTGCTTCACGCCCTCTTCATTTTCAACAAGGACCCCATGAGCCTTATTCACGTGCCTCCTGATCCTGCTGCCACATTCTTCTTCTTAGAGTCCAGACTAATAAGTCTAATGAAAGGGCACAACTCAGACGCACACCTTTCCTGATGCTAAATTATCCCCTTGAGTATTTGAATGACTGCCTCTTGGTCTAGTTACGGGTTCCAGATGAACTGAATTAAATGATCTCAGGCTCCCATTCCTCACAATGTTATCCATGACTTATGATCCACAAAGTCAAGTCCCTTTGTATAGTTAATAAAACAAGCAAACATTTTTCAGTATTCTCTGCTTTTAGCCAAGAACAATCGATCAGCAATGATCCCCCTTGTTCCACGTCCCCTTCTGAATCTGGCATTAATTTTTGGCAGCTCCCTGGTGATAAACTACAGCCAATATTTTAAAATTATCTTCAGCAAAACTTTCTTGCATGTGATATTAATGCTACTGTTTGATAATTTCTGTATTCTCTCGTTCCACCGTTCTCTAGCATGGGCATAAATTTTTACCTCTTTCAGTGGTTGACCAGGTAGCTGCCATCCAAATTTCTTGGCATGGAGAACTGATTGCTCCCAGGACTAGAGCACGTTATTGAAACATCTCAGCTGGCATTCTGTCAATCCCGGGAGCTTTGCTTTTCTCTAACGCCTTCATTGCAGCTTGGCTTTCTTCCTCCAATGCCATCGGTTCCCAATCATATGCTACCTCTTCAGTGGTTGGATGGCCAATTCTTTTTGGTTCCGTGACTGAATTCCTCCTGTCTTCTCTTGACGCTTCCTACCCACAGACGCCTTCAATCTTCAAACTCTATAGAGCTTGATTTTTTCCCATTTGTTTTTCAGCTTGAGAAATAGTGACCATGTTCTTCCCTCCAGGGATTTGCACAGCACTTGAAGTAAAAGAGCTGAATAGAACATCATCGCTCCCCCTTGTGCTTTAGCTTCTCTACGATCAAGAGCAGGCTTCAGACTCCTTCCTGGCATCCAGCTGGTCCTGCTTTCCTGTGTTTTCCTGAGCGTTTGCCTTTTGCACTTCGGGCGTTCTTGACAACATCCCACAGCTCCTCTGGTCTTTGATCATTCGTGTTCAGTGTGCCACGTCTGTTCTTCAGAGGGTCCCTAACTGTAGATGGAATATACTCCAGGTTGTCTTTTGGCCCTCTTGGTCTGGCTGTAATTTTCTTCAACTTGACTGTGCAATTGCTGGTCTGTTCCTGTGAGCAATTGACGTCCTGCTCCACAGTCACCCCCTGGCTCTGCTTTGGCTGCTGAAACCGAGCTTCTCCATCATCTCTGGCCACATATCCGATTCCCCAGTATCCCATTTGACAATCTCCATGCGTTTAGGCACCATTCATGTTGTTGAAAAAAGGTATTTACAATGAAGAAGTCATTGGTCTTACACAATTCTATCATACAAATTTTATCAAAATTCCATTTTCTAACTGCTGATCCTTTCTTTGTTTCCAACTTTTCCATCCTAATTGCCAATAATGACCTAGTCCTACTATGAGGGCCTTCCAACCTGAGGGGCACATCTCCCGCCACTGTGTCACACAATAACCAGTGGCTCATTTTCCAGAAGTGGTCTGCGGGTTCCTTCTTTCTAGGCTGTTGTTCGCCCGGAAGCTCTGATGAAACCTGTCCACCACAGAAATGCCAGTGACGTAGCATCCAGCATCGCAGCAACACGAAAGCCACCACAGTGCCACACACTGACAGACAAGTAGCAGATTCAATCCAGAGCCGATGGCTGGGACCAGACTGCTTGGAATTTTGTTGCTACGCTTTTTCTTACTGACAGAGCCACTCGGGCAAGCTGTCAACTTCCTTGTGCCTCACCTGCCCTAGGACTCTTAGGAAGGAAGCATCAATGGAGTTAACCCTTTAGAAATAACCTATCGAAACAGGGCCCGACACCCACATTGATTACTTGGTGCTTGTAGTGCATTCTTATCGTTAGCCAACCACAAGAAGTCACGGTTCTTGTTCTGGAGCTTATCATAGAGCAGTATCAGCTGTACGTGAACGCTGTCACTCACTCAGTCACTCGACTAAGATCCGAGGAGCCCTTGTTGGCCAGGCTGTGGAGAGAGGCATGGTCCCTGCTTCCCTGGAATCTATACTCAGCCAGGGAAATAATCATTAGTCAGCTGATCGCACTCTCACTGCTATTGAGTCAATGCTGCCTCATAGTGACCCCCTGGTGGGCTTCTGAGATTGTTAATTGTTTACCGAGGAGGTCGAAAGCTCAGTCTTTGTCCAGAGGAGCTGCTGGTGGTTTTGAACCACCAACCATGTGGATCAAAGCCCAATGAGTAACCTCTATCCCCCCAGGGCCCTGTAGCTGATCACACAAATGAATGAAAAAGTGCAGCTTCTGCAACGCAGCCCACAGGATGAAAGCGTCCTGTGGAATGACTGTCTTGCGAGGAGGCAGGCTAGTGGAGGAGATGCTTGGGCTGGGACCAAGTAGTTGAAGGAAGGGCCAGGTGATGAGGCCTCCAGGTGGAAGAAAGCCCAGGTGTAGAGCCTGTGGTGGCAGAGCAAGGAGCCCAAAGAAGGCCCAGCTGAGGAGAGCGCCAGGGTGGATGGTGGTGTGGTTGGGCTTGTGGTTGGGCGAAATGAGGACAGAGACGCTGGCAAAACCCACAGTGCGTCGTCTCCTAGGGTCAGGAGGTTGAGCCACGAGGCCTTTCAAAGCCCTGTTGTTGACTTGCCTCTAATGTGTTAAGTACAGAGTCTCAAGGCAAAAGGCCCAGAATGACCAGAACAATAAACAGGGCCATTATTTAATCCTGTTTACATTTAGTGAAGGCCTCATTTTAGGGTC